GGCGCCACAGCCGTCACTGCCCACCCTCACCACTAGATCAACCCGACGGGCAGCAGCGTCGCCCGTCGCGGCATTGACCTGACAGCCTTTGCTCCCCCAGCCCGTGCCCAGTACGTCAACGCCGAGGGCACTGCCTCCAAGGAGTCCCTCAAGCTGCTCCGCCGCGAGACCTATGTCGAGACGGCCAGCGCCCTGGTCAAGCAGACTGCACCCAACGCCCAGTTCCGCGTTGTCGAGGACCACTACATCGGTACCAACGGCATCGGCCACGTGAACTTCAAGCAGACTGCCAATGGCATTGACATTGACAACGCTGATTTCAACGTCAACGTGAGTTCTCGATCAGCTGCCAACTTTCGTAAAAGGCGACATATGCTGACCACGAGATCATAGATCGCCGCCGATGGCTCTGTCCTGTCGTACGGCAACAGCTTCTACACCGGCGCGATCCCCAGCTCCCTTAGCCGTCGCGAAGACCTGAACCCCGTCGGCGCCCTGGACCACGCCGTCACCACCTTCGCCCTGCCTATCCAGGGTGATGCTACTGCCGAGCCCACCGCTGGCAAGGACGACTTTGTCCTGACCGGCACAGCCGGCGCCCAGTCGGACCCCAAGGCGCGCCTTGTCTACTTTGTCAAGTCGGACAACAGCCTCGTCCTGACGTGGCGTGTCGAGACGGACGTGCTCGACGACTGGCTTCTTACCTACGTCGACGCCAACTCCAACGGCGAGGTGCACAGCGTCGTCAACTACGTCTCCGAGGCCGGACTCCAGGTCTACCCCTGGGGCCTCAACGACCCGACCGAGGGCTCGCGCCAGTCCCTCACTGACCCCTGGGACAAGAAGGCGTCCGAGTTCGGCTGGTTCAGCACCGGCACCGAGAGCTATACGACAACCCGCGGCAACAACGCGATCGCCCAGGAGAACCGTGACGGCGACAGCCAGTACCTCAGCAACTACCGCCCCACGAGCTCGTCCCTGGCCTTCGAGTACCCGTACAGCCCGGCCACCACGGACTTCAAGGCCTACCAGGATGCGTCCATCACGCAGCTCTACTACACTGCCAACGTAAGTCCTGTCTCACGCTGTCCTCGTCATTCATCTCCTTGCCGGGATTGATTACTAATTATCTGCAAATAGGTCTACCACGACGTCCTCTACTCCCTGGGCTTCACCGAGGCCGCTGGCAACTTCGAGGTCAACAACAATGGCCAGGGTGGCAAGGGCAACGACGCCGTCATCCTCAACGCGCAGGACGGCTCCGGCACCAACAATGCCAACTTCGCCACCCCCGCCGACGGCCAGATCCCTCGCATGCGCATGTACATGTGGACCAAGACCACCCCTCAACGCGACTGCTCGTTCGAGGCCGGCGTCGTGATCCACGAGTACACGCACGGTCTCTCCAACCGCCTGACTGGCGGCCCGGCCAACTCTGGCTGCCTGAGCTCCACCGAGAGCGGCGGCATGGGCGAGGGCTGGGGTGACTTCATGGCCACCGCGGTCCGCCTCAAGACCTCCGACACGGCCGCCAAGAGCTACGCCATGGGCGACTGGGTCAACGGCGGCGCCGGCATCCGCGCGTACCCTTACAGCACCTCCAAGACGACCAACCCCCAGACCTACAAGTCGGCCAACGGCATGACCTCGGTGCACGCGATCGGCACGATCTGGGCCAACATGCTCTACGAGATGATGTGGGAGCTCATCGCCCGCCGGGGCAAGCAGACCGCCGCCGTCCTGCCCACCTTCGACAGCAAGGGCGTCCCCACGGACGGCAAGTTCCTCGCCATGAAGCTCGTCGTCGACGGCATGGCCCTGCAGCCCTGCAACCCCAACTTCGTCCAGGCCAGGGACGCCATCATCGACGCCGACAAGGCCCTGACCGGCGGCGCCAACGCCTGCGCCATCTGGACCGCCTTTGCCAAGCGCGGCCTCGGCGACGGCGCCAAGTACAGCAGCTCCAGCCGCACCGAGAGCTTCACCGTCAAGTCTGGCGCCTGCTAAGCGCGTTCTCGAGACAACTTTGACCGGTTTCGATGAGTGAGGGGGGCGATGGGGATGTTGTCAAGCGTGATGATGACGATGATGATGATGATGACAATCGATGGCGATGAGGTTTGATGCGCTGGGTGAGGTTGAGACGTATATAGGAGTCAGAGATGTCCATCTCGGAAGAGGACAGGGTGCACATATGGCGACTACGCTATTTCTATTATTGTATATACATTTTTCTAGCTCGAGATCGCAGTACATATGAAACTTCTTGAGAAACCCATGCTGTCAGAAGTATCTCAACCGTGTATAAATCGGAATGTCAAAAGGGCCACCGGCATCGTCTCTCAGACTTAGATCACCTGATTGCCCCGGCAACAGCTTGGGGAAAGCGCCGCGTCACAAGTCCTCAGATTGGAACCTGTTGAGATGGACATAGACATGAAGATCATTCAGAGGTGAATGATAATCTGCAAATACAACCCTTACTAGATTGCTCAGACTCTTATGTCCCGTTGACAAATGTTCCGAAACTTGCACTTCAGGTGGTGATGAACATGTTTGTGTTCCTGCTGAAAACAGCCTGTTTTCAGGCAAGGCGGCATTGTGCCTCATCCGTACGCACATTCAGGAGTATTTCTCCGGCGACACACGGCATGTTGACCAATTTTGTCGTTGTTATTGTTGTTGTCCACGTGGATACCTCAGGTGGTTTCGGTCGTATTTATTCCAATTCTCGTCCCGGCAATCACGATGGTGCACTTTCCAAACAACCGCAACTCCGCACAAGGCGACCGCCCGTCGAATCCTAGAAGCAACAACTTCACCAACATAAATCACGGGTCCAAACTCCTGGTCGACACGCTTCACGACACCGCCACGATATCAGCCATGGACGATCTTCTTTGGAGCAGCGACGACGTCCTGGCCCACACCCTCCAGCTCGCCTCCCAAGCCACGCTCTTTCCCGGCAGAGAGGACACAGTGGCGTGCTTCCAAGCAATAGGTCAGTTCCCAGGTCCTTCCTCCTTCCTCTCACACTTCCAGACTTCCCGGATCCGCAAAGGAACAGGCGAACCCACTGACGCCTGACAAAAACCAGAGCTCATCCTCTACTACGCCCGCGAGCACAGCAGATGGCCGACCCACGCCGACTTGCACTCGCTACAGCATACCAACCCTCTGCTGCTGCGCCTCGCGTGCGCGACAACTGTCACCTGGCTGTGCTCGGCCCGCCGGCACGGTCTGGTCGACACGCAGCTGGCCCTGCTGTCGCCGCACGCGCAGCGGATGATGGACCTCGTGGTGCCTTGGGCTGATCCGTTCGCGACAACGGCTGAGAGCGCCATGGGTACGGGCACTAGTGGTGATATAAGACAGCTGTCGGAGCCGGATGCCGAGGTTCAGAGCGTTGAAGACGGCAGGGTGCGGAACGTGCTGGGGACGACGATAGCTGCGTCTTCGTAGAATGGAGACGGCGGTGTTATTCCGAGCACGTCCATGTTTGGGAATCAGAATGAGCGAGGTGGGAGTGAGGCCTCGGTGACGGTTCGGGAACATGCTTCATTCGTCGATCTCACGGGGGACGATCCTTCCGATGACGACCCCCTTATGCGAATCTTATCGACCGACCAAGATGTCCTGGGAAGTCGTCCCTCGCAGCTCCTGTCCTTTGGGCTCGACCCGTTAATAGGAGGCGGCCCGGCGGGATCCTCGTTGTCACCGCAGCCTTTTAATGCCATCAACAACGAGCAGCCTCGAGACATTTTCAATCTTTCAGACTGGTTGGGCTCAGGCAGCGTGGCGTTGACGGAAGTCGGCAGTGGTCAGCAGCCGGGCAACCAGTTTTCTACAATAAACCAGGCAACGCTGCCCTCTACCTTGAATACGACGACGTCAACGACAACGACTACAACGACAACATCAAGGCACTCCTCGGGAGCATTCGCAGGCCTGACACAATACCACAACAACTTGGAGAGACAGCAGTCCGCCGCGATGTCCTCTGTCGTCTCGCAGGTCTACCCAACTGACGCCAATTGTGCCGCCACCACCGCTACCGCTGATGCTCTGGGTGTTGTTGAGGCAGCAAAGAGCAATCTTCCGTTGGCGACCGCAAACATGATGGATAACAGCACCTGGCTGTTTGCCAATCCTCTACCGGGCGAGGGAGGCGCAGTCGACGTGAACGCAGCACAACAGCAAGCCCTCGCACAATTTCATCCGCAGGCCGCGTTCAGGATGCTCCCAACCTTGGGCGGGCTAAATAAGCTGCCGCGTCGGTCTTAGGCTCAAGCAGAGTGTCGGCATTACGATGAGCGAGGGCTGCTAATCGACTCTGGGTTGATGCCAAAGCTGTGGGATGTGTTTGATCTATCATGTCGATCGAGTTCCAAAGCGTCAGGCGATAAACAGGATTGGGCTTGCTCACTTGCTTTGGAATGAATCTGTGCTGGTCACGAGAAGAGCATCGCATTTTCGACAAGCATTGTAGCCCAGAATCTATTTTGTTGCGTCAGATATGTTAACTCAACATGTCATAACATCGAAATGAGACAAGAGAAAGCCATAGATAGAATTGGTGTGGATTATTCCACATCGTAGCGGAGGGCATGATCATCGCGTATGTGGTTTTGCCTCTCTCCATCGTTCTATTTATGACTTTGGCTAAGCTTTCAATGAAGTTTCAGAAAATAATCATAACAATAAAAAGCCAAGTCGTTCGACGAAAGTCTTTTTGCCATAATCCTGAATACGGTCATTGTTTAGTCTAGTTCGATAAAGAGGCGACATAAAGAGGCGTCATGAAAATGATTAGAAGTTGCCGCACGACACACATCCATCGGTCGACGCCGGCAGCTCTCTAAGGCCAACTCAGGACTAAAAGGACAAAAGGAAAAAAAAAGCCAAAAAAAAGAAAACTAAGAATATGGTCAAAAGAAGAAAGGAAGACAGCAGATATTGATGAACATATAAGAAGCCCAAAAAAGAAATGCCAACGCATTTGGACGCTGTGGGAATTGAACCCACGACCTTTCACAGACGTATTAACGAACTGAGTCGTTATTGCGAAGCGAAAATCATACCCCTAGACCAAGCGCCCCGCTTGTTGTTGAAAGCACGCCTCTTAGAGTCAAATAGGTCTTCTGCACAAAAATGATCAATGATGATCAACTGCGGTCAGTCAGATTGGACTGTGGCCTGTAACAATTACAGTCCGAGAAACCAAGTCAAGAATCAAGACAGGGCACAGCTAGCATGGACGCAAGACCGGCAAAGTAAACCAAAGCCCTGTGAACTCAGCGTCGCCATTCCAACCAAACTCCGCCCCCTCCATGTTCCTCACCATTGGCACCTCTGGGCTCTGATGCCGTGGCAAGGCCCACCACCACCACAACAGAGCTCGACTCCCCCCCTCTCTCTTCTCCTCGCCTCCCAAGGGCTGCTGTCAACGTGTTTCATGCAGTCGTCCCGCGTGCAGGATCTATCATGTGAAAATTGTGACCCCCATCCCACATTGCAGATTTCAAAGTGTCATCAAGGCACACTACAACTGGGAGAGGAAGCCAATCAGGTGTGTCGAGTTGACAATCCACAAAGCATGGGAGGCTTCTCTGGGAGCTAGAGACTGTGAATGCAAGGCCCGGCCCCTCAGTTTTCCCCACCGAGATGGCGCATGGTAGCGTTGCCGCGACGCGCCTCGCCCGCACATCATCGTCACACCTCGGCGCGCGGATCTACGTACGACCCAACAACGGATGGACCTGAACCGTACGACACCTCTTGGTGGTGGTCACGCCCGTGGCAAGGTTTGACAGGAGACTCGAGGCGACGAGGCGAGAGGATCGACATGCCCTGTGGGTGTGAGGTCGTCGGCCGGAAGATTGGTATCAGGACCCAGTAGTGATCAGACTACGAACCCTGCGATGATGATTCACCTGGCCGCTTGTAGTTGTCACCATTTGCAGGGGCCGCTCCGGAGGGACCACGCCATACTTTCTTTTCCCGCATCCCACTCTCAAGTTTCCCATGGCCGGCCACATCGAGCTCCTCTAGCGGCCGCCAAAACCAAGCTTTAGCAGCCTAGTTCCCGCCATTACGGAGGAAGCTAGGCAGCTAGAGAGCGCAGCCCCCCCTCGTCGGGAAGATTAGCAGCAAGCCCATGCCTGCCCACCCCGTGGGTGGAAGCATTGTCATCAATGGTGAGGCGGGCAGAGTCTCCCTGGACACAAGCTCCGTCTTCTTGCATCCGTTGAGCCCTTCCTCTACGACCCTCAGAGGTGGGCTCTGTAGCTTAGCAATCGCCATTCCTCGGCTCCTGTATGGTCAACTTTGGCCAGCCCAGCCGTTCTATCCAGTCGACTGTTCTCGCTCCCGTCAGACGACGCGCCTCAGCCCCAACCTCGCGGGCTTGTTCCTGTTCCGCATCTGCACGTTCCGGCGTGACAACCTGATATTCCGTCGCGTGCCAATGTGGGGGTCCCCCGCCTCAAATCCCGCAGGAGTTCATGTACGATTCGTGGTATGCTCGTGTGGCATCGCGCGTTCGGTGCCACTCGACCAGCCATTCGCTTTTCTCTCTTTCAGGCGGGTCAAACAAGAGGTACTTGTCGATGAAGTACCTCTCATTCATCTCCCTTCCCCCCCGGTCGATGATTCCAAGGTTTGGCTTGACAGGTTTCATTGACAATGGGTTATTTTGTAATCCAGAGCCTGTGACTGGTCCGGGAAGCCTCGCCAACGTTGCTGCCGGCGCCACGTGCGGCTTCTGACGTCGAGACGAGGTACGCTCCCTCCTCGTCTGTTGATTCCTTGTCACAATGACACCTTCCTGGATAACTCGATTTGGTAATCCCGAGGACCTGACTGGCTCCCGGGTCCCGGCACTCCCGCCGTCACGACGTCCATGTGCAGGGGTTCAATCTCCGGGTGTTGACGCTTACAAGGCGGAGGATTAGGCAGGAGTAAACCGACGACGTGCCACTTGCCAATGGGCAAGTCATCGTCTCGCGTGGGGAACGTGGCAGATGCTTCGAGAGCGTAATTCGTAATTGCGGTGCTCTGACTGGCTGGCTCGTGGCCCGGATGTGCTTGTTTATCCAAGAGAGCATGTCTCTGTCGCCAAAGGCTTTCCGGGCAATGACGGCGTTGGTGCTGGTCGTCACGCAGAAGTCCTATGGCGGCGTTGACGCTCACTAGGGCCTAGAATAAGAAGTTGCCGGGCCAGTGAGTGGCTTATGAATTCGAGGGGATATGATTAGCTACCTGAGGTGGTGCTGTACGTGAGACACCACAGATTTCTACGCATGTCCTATACGAGGGCTTGTAAACGTCGAGAATCTTTGGATCACTATTTGAATTGGGATGTGTGTCAATCAGAACTGGTTTGAACTTGAACGGAGACAACGCGAGTGGGTCACGCATTTGGATGAAGTCGAGTCCACCGAGATATCACAGACAGCCTCGATTGGAGCGATGCACCCTCAAAATAAATGGCAATTAAGTAACTAAAGTCGGAGGTATGTTCTCGTCCCATTTTGAAATGCCGCGGCATCTGGTGCACAAATTTTGAGATCTAAGCAACACTCATATACAAAAAAGTAGGCAGGGGTATTTGTACTACATGAGACGGGAAAGCGAACTTTTGGTTAAAGCAAAGCCCCCCTTCTGGGCGGCAGGCCAAACATGGCATTGACGACCTCACCAGACCGCACAGCCAGGATCGACAGGAGAGTGTCGCTCAGCTGGAAAGAAATGTTAGCCTGGTGAATAAGACGCTGCTTGGGGGGGATCGAGAACTTACACCGTGCGTTCCCTCATTCGTGCCCTGGAGATACATGCCAGAGCCGGCAGCGACCTTGCCAGGGGCAAACTTGACGGCGTACTCGCGTGAGACCTTCAGGTCGCGGCTGCCCACCTTTGGCGCAAACTTGTAGTCCATGCCATTGGTGGCCGAGGCCTGCGATGCTCCCTCTGTCTCGGGAAGCAGAGACTCGATTTGGTTGATCATGTGGAGATGTGCATTCCGCTGGTAGCCAGTGGCTGAGATGACCAGGTCCACGTCGAGGAGCTCCTCCTTTGCACCGGGCGACCCTACTGGGCGAATGGCAAGTCGCACTTTGTCATCACCGAGAGGTGTGCAGGAGACGAGATCGGTGGCTCCACGGATGCGGTGGGGCCACTGCTTCTCGTCGGCGCCTAGTTCCCTCCGCTGATCGTACATCTTCTCGAAGAGGTGCTCGATCAGGTCGAGCCGCACAACGCTGTAGTTTGTGGCCCGAGCCCCCGTAATGATCTCGCGCCTGCTCTGCTCTGGGCGTGTGTACAAGTCGTCGACATAATCTGGGTTGAAGATGGAGTTTACGCTGTGGGGTTGGATTGTTAGTGATGATCCAAATCTGCAGAAATGTAGCCACGAGGGGGTGTGTGTCAACATACAATGGAGAATCGTCACTAGGCCGCAGGAACTCTGCGCGCATGATCAGAGAGGTGTTGGAGTTCGGATACAGGTTCTGAATATTGTTGAAGATTTCGGCAGCGCTCTGCCCTCCGCCGAGGACAGCGACCCGATACGGAGCATTGCGCTTGTTCAGGATCTTTGGCACCAATGTCGCAGTCTGTGAAGAGTGGATGACTCTCGGGTGCTTGTGCGGGAGCTGCTTCGGTAGGGAGGGCTGTCCTCCAATCGCAATGAGGACGTTGCGGGCGCGAGACTTCGTGATGCTCCCAGTCTTGACACTCCTCGAGGTCACGGTAAAAGTGGACACCTTGCCACCGGAAGGCTCGTGGTCCGGAGAGACAGATAAAACCTCTGAGCCGTAGTCGACCACATCGTCGAAGTGGCTGGAGCACCACCTGAGGTAGTCCTCAAACTCTGCTCTGGCAGGCGTGAATGTACTGAGGTTCGAGAAGTCTGCCAAGCGGTTGTTCTTGTGTAGATAGTTGATGAAGGTGAATTGAGAGGTGGGGTCGCGGAAGGTGGCCATGTCCTTCATGAACGATATCTGCATCTTGGCGCCGGGGAGGAGCATGCCTGCGTGCCACGCGAATCGCTGCTGCTTCTCAAGAAATTTGACCTTGGGGAGCGAGCTGCCGCCCAAGTTCCCCAGACGGCCAGCCTGGACCGCATCGTCGAGAGCAATGGCAACTGCAAGACTGGCAGGCCCAAAACCAACACAGACGAGATCGTGAACCTCGTCGCTGGAGAAACGCTGTAGGTTGGAGCCACGTTTTGGCGAAGTGCCACTGGGCAGCTGTTGTTGGTGCTCCGCTGACTGTTGGTGGTGGGCAGAGCTGTGGCTGGCGTCACCACTGCCAGAGAGGGTATCTGACAAGCTGTGAGGAGCCATCTTCGGCGATGGAGGGGCAGACAACTAGGTTGTGTAAGTCAAGCTGAGGGATGTCTCGGTGTACGGTTGCCCGAGTTGCCACGAAGGAGAAAGACCTGATGACTGCTTTGAGGAAACAGAAAAGTGAAGAGAGAGGCAAGATCACACAATGAGCGATCCAGAAAATGGGGAAGCCTGAGATTAAATTGCATGGCAGCGAGAAGAGTCCGTTGCCGGCCGAGCAGGCGAAACGGAGCACAGAAACCAGGGCGGCCGATCTGCTCCATTCGTCGCGCTGCTCGCATGGAGCCACACCATCAACGTCACCCGAGGGACCCCTACATGGTGTCGAGTACCTGCGGGTCTGCGCGGCGCACTTGCAAAGTCAAGCTCGGCACAAGAGCGGAGCAAGCTCCAGCTCAAGCATCCCGCCACAACTGCTTTCCGTTGGCCGGCTGTGCCACACATTTTTGTCGAGTTGCCATCTGCCTTTGCTTCGGGGCCAGCCCACAATGCTGGCCTGCTAACATTGGCGGCTTCGAGCCCGAAAGTCAAGCCTGGCGGTATCATCGAGACTGCTGACCTTTTTCGAAAGGACGCTGGAACGTGGTAATGTCACTAGCTGGGTGGCGGTCGACTGTTGTGCCCTGTGCAGCCCCCCTCTTAACGCCGAGCTGTTCGGCGGAGCATAGAAAGCTCGACGGGCTCCTTTGGCAATCCGTTGCTCGTTATTTCTGTCCAGGACATGGGCGTCGGAGGCGGGGTCCTGGGTCGT